ACCACGGCGGCGGCGCGGCCGCCGTCGCAGCCCAGCTCCAGCGCGCGGCCGGCGCCGTGCACGAAGGGCACGAAGTAGCCGGCATCCAGCAGGGCGAAGGCGGCGGCGTAGCGCAGGAAGGGGCCGTTGCGCAGCAGCCGCGGCAGCGCCGCGAGGCCGCCGGGGGGCTCGGGGGGCTCCGGAGGGGCGCGGGGCGGGCGGAGGAGGGCGGCGGCGGCCACGAGGTGCAGGGAGACGGCGGCCAGCAGGAGCAGGGCGCCGCGCCAGCCGTAGGAGTCCAGGGCCAGCGGGAGCAGCGGGGCCAGCGCCAGCCCCGAGACGGCGGCGCCGGAGACGGCGAGGCCGGTGGCCAAGGCGCGGCGCCGGGGGAACCAGCGGGAAACGGCGCCCAGCGCCGGCGTGAAGGCCAGCGACCAGCCCAGGCCTGCGGGGAGACGGGTTCTGGGTCAGGCTGTGGGGTCACGGGAGGGGTGGGAGGGTTCTGGGTCATTCTATGGGGTCACAGGAGTGGGAGGGTTCTGGGTCATTCTATGGGGTCACGGGTGGGGTGGGAGGGTTCTGGGTCAGGCTGTGGGGTCATGGGAGGGGTGGGAGGGTTCTGGGTCAGGCTGTGGGGTGGGAGATGTGAAGCATTGGGTTCTAGGCCACTCTATAGGGTTACACGATTATTTAAGGGTTCTAGGTCATTCTATGGGGGTCACATGAGGTTTGGGAGCGTTCTGGGTCAGGGTGCAGAGTCACAGGAGGGTTGGGAGGGTTCTGGGTCATGCTATGGGGTCACAGGAGGGTTGGGAGGGTTCTGGGTCATGCTATGGGGTGGGACATGTGAAGCATTGTGTTCTAGGTCATTCTTTGGGCTTACTTGAGGTTTGGGAGGGTTCTGGGTCAGTCTATGGGGTTACACAAGGATTTAAGGGTTCTAGGTCATTCTACGTGGTCACACGAGGTTTGAGAGGGTTCTGGGTCATTCTATGGGGTCACGTGAGGGTTCTAGGCCATGCTATGATGTGGGAGATGTGAAGGGTTGTGTTCTAGGTCACTCTATAGGGTTACACAATGATTTAAGGGTTCTAGGTCATTTTACGGGGGTCACACGAGGTTTGGGAAGGTTCTAGACCATGCTATGATATGGGAGATGTGAATATTTGGGTTCTAGGTCACGCTGCAGGGTTACACTATGATTTAAGGGTTCTGGATCATTCTATGGGGTCACACAAGGATTTAAATGTTCCAGGTCATTCCATGGGGCTGGGAGATGTGAGGGCTTGGGTTCTAGGTCATTCCATGGAGCTACACGAGAATTTAGAGGTTCTAGGTCATTCCGTGGGGTGGGG